GGACAGGAAAAAAAAAAAAAAAAAAAAAAAAAAAAAAAAAAAAGACAATTCAATAGGACTTGACATATAATCAAAAAGTCAGGTAAAACATATTTTACAAGAATTTTTATAGAAACATTACTCACATTACTCACAATAGCCAAAAGGTGAAAACAACCCAAATGTCCATTGATGAACAAATGGAAAAATAAAATGTGGCATAGAATGGACTATTTATTATTCGGCCTTTAAAAAAAATGAAATTCTGATACGTGCTGCAGCATACATGAACCTTAGAGACATTATGCTAAGTGAAATAAGCCAGACACAAAATGTCAAATATTATATGATTTCACTTATATGAGATACCTAGAATAGTCAAATTCACAGAAAAAGAAAGTAGAATAGTCATTACCAAGGGCCAGGGAGTTGTTGTTTAGTGGGTAAAGAGTTTCAGTCTGGAATGATGAAAAAGTTCTGGAGATGGATAATGGTGATGGTTGCACAACAATGTTAATATACTTAATGCTGCTGAACTACACTTCAAATGGTTAAAACGGTAAATTTATGTAAGATTATTTTATCAGAGTTTTAATAAGTCAAGTAACAAATGTTGGTGAAGATGTGGAGAAATCAGAGCCCTCATACACTGCTGGTGGGAGTGTAAAATGGTGCAGCAGCTTTGCAGATCAGTCTGTCAGTATCTCAAAAACTATACAGAGTTACCATTTGAGTCAGCAATTCCCCTCCTAGGTATATACCCAAAAGATATGAAAACATATGTCCATACAAAATCTTGTATACAAATGTTCATAGCAGCGTTATTCACAATAGACAAAAGGTAGAAATAGCCCAAATGTCCATCAACCAAAGAAAAAAAAATGTGGCATGATCACACAATGGAGTATTATTCACCATAAAAAGGAATGAGGACTGGGCAATTAGCTCACTTGGGACGGCATGGTGCTGAGAACACCTAGGTCAAGGATTCAGATCCCCATACCAGCCCCCCCCCCAAAAAAGAATGAAGTACTGATACATAAATAGACCTTGAAAGCATTATGCTAAGTGAAAGAAATCAGTCATAAATAACCACATATTACACAATTACATTTATAGGAAATGTCCAGAATAGAGACAAAAAGTAGATTAGTGGTTGATTAATGCAAAGACATATGAAAGTGGGAAGACTGGGGAGAGGGGAGTAGTTAATGGGCAGGGGGTTTCTTTTTAGGTGATTAATACATTTTAAAATTGACATCCTGGTGAAAACTTCAAGCATGGAGCTGGGCAAACAGATCTGAAGCTTGGGAAAACACTAGCACTACAGTTATGAATTCATTTTACTGATGACAGTTTAAAACTAAAGGTTAATAAGACTGCCATTCAAGAAGGATGGAAGAGAGCTGTTAGGAACTGAATGGGCCCCTACCCTCAAATTCACTGTATTGTAGCTGCTAAAGGATCACATGAATTAACTAATGAATTAGAATTCACTATGCTAAAGCCCTAACCACCACTCATGGTATTTGGAGGTGAGGCCTTTGGAGTAATTAGGTTTTGATCAGGTCATGAGGGTGGGGTCTCATGATAGGATCGGTGTCCTTATAAGAAGAAAGACTAGAACATGAGCATGCATTCTCTCTCTCTCTCTCTCTCTCTCTCTCTCTCTCTGCCATCTGAGAACAACAAGAAGGTGGTTGTCTGCAAGCCAGGAAGAGTCCTCATAGGAACAGAAATCAGCTAGCAACTAGATATTGAACTTCCTAGCCACCAGGCATATGATAAATAAATTGTTGTTTAAGACCCCCAGTCTATAGTATTTTGTTATGACAGCCTGAGCTAAGAGCAAAGATTAATTTTAAAAAAAGAAATATCAACATTTACAAGTAAGATAGAAGAACAGGATCCAGAAAAGGCTGGCCGGTTAACTCACCTGGTTAGAGCACAGCCTTATCACACCAAAATTATCGTATAACTTCGTATAATGTATGCTATACGAAGTAAAAAAATATATATATATATATATATATATATATATATATATATATATATATATATAGTGACTACTGTACCAAAAGAACATGAAAGTCAGGGAGGAGATAAACAGTTACTAGAAGAAAAAGTGAGTGTTTACCTGTACTGACCACGCAGAAAATTAAAAACTAGTATCCAGTGAATTACCCACTAATGGCCCTGCTTGGAGCAAGATTAGTGAAATAAAAAAAAGAATGCCAGATTTCAGCTGAGTACAGAAACCAGTGGCACACATGGAATCACAGAAAGTCAATGACTCCTGCAAGCATAGTTACGAAGAGTAGGTAACAGGTGCCACAGGAAGATAAAGAATCAAAACGAGGGCTTTTAGGACCGCAAGTTTATTCAAGTATTAGTTCCCTTCGGTCCTATGAAAAGACACACTAACTCTTTACTAACCCAAGTTAAGAAGAGTCTTTTTAAAAATTATTATTAAACAGTGTTGAACTGGAAATCTTTAAAAGTAAAAGTTTGAATATCCAAATTTATTTTTGCTTCCTTCTGAAATCCCACTTACAGAAACAGGAAAAGTAGTTTAAAACAACAACAACAACAAAACAAACACAAAAAACAGGACTGGCTCATTAACTTAAAATACTCTAGTCAGCAGATACTCCATTCTCCTGGTTTCCCTTTTCTCTGATTATCTCTTTTGCAAGCTCAGTCTCCTTTATATAGACCTTAAATGTTGGCTTCCTCAAAGCTACCTTTTTTATCACTGTATATTTTGTCCCAAGACCACCTCATCCAACTAATATCAACAAGCAGACAGCACTTGAGATATAGTCGTTCCACTTTTCTATCAGTAAATGGCAACACTACTCACCCAATGATGAAGCTAAAAATGTTGAAGCCATCCTGCAATATAGAATCCTCGGGACTTCATTCTCCCTTACTCCCCATTATCCAATCCATTACTAAGTCGGATAGATTTTATCTTCTAAATAGTTTTTTTGTTTTGGTTTGGTTTGTTTTTTGTGGCAGCTAGCCAGTATGGGTATCCAAAGCTTTCACCTCAGTGTTACAACAAAGTGCTCCAACCAGCTCAGCTAATCAGCCAGCTCTAAATAGTTATTTTGGATTCACAACTTTCGTTGCACTATGGATCATGACTCCTTTAACTGTCTCCTCTTATTTGTGTTCTCTCCAATCCATTTTTTTTTCCTTTTTGTCTGTTTTCATGACCGGCAACAGATCGCAACCCTCAGTGTCGCGCCCGTACTGGACCGGGACCGGCAACAGAATCGCAACCCTCGGTGTTGCGCCCGCACCTCGCTCAGCCAGTGAGCGGCTGGTCTGTACGTGGGATCCGAACCCTCGGTGGGAGTGCCGCCGCACTCCCAAGCGGTGCACTGTAGCAGTGCGCCACCGGGCCAGCCCCTCTCCAATCCATTTTACACACTACAGCCATAGTGAACTTTTAAAATGCACAGATCAGATCACATCAACTCCTGCTCATAGCACTTTAATGGTATCTCATTGTTCTCAGGATAAAATATAAAAATTTTAACAAAGTCTACAAGGTACTGCATGGTTTGGCCCATAGTTATTTCCATATTGTGCCACCCTCCATTACTCTGTGGGCTGCAGATTTCTCAGGGCTGAGTAAATACTATTTTCTGTTCTTGGAACAGTCTTCTCCTCTTTTGCCTAGTTAACTCCTAACTCATCCTCTCAAGTCTCAGATCAAAGATAACTTCACTAGCAAAACTGCCCTAGAACATCCCCAAACCAAAAGTTCACATTAGGTACCCCTGCTATATCACTGACTGCAGACCAAAATTTTTCTGTGGACATACTTCTCAGTTAAGTAATTATCTGTTTAATTATTTGCTGGTGCCTTGTCTCATTTCCTGGACTCTATTTTCCCATAGAGGCAAGCAAGACTGATGTTTTGCCCATTACTGGATCCCAGCTTCTGTCTAGCACAGTACTCGACCTATACAATATACTTAGTATTTGTCATATAAATGGCATGGAACCAAATAATGTGCATAAACAATACTACAATGAGTAAGACACCAGCAGTCCCATAAGGACAGGGAGGTTACAGGAGAGGACTAAAAGAATTTTCTATTAGTAGAATTTAAATTTCCAAACAGGCCACTAACAATAAGGTATCAGTTTTTAGAACAGTGAACTACAATGGTCTTTGGGCACCTCAATATTCAAAATATAAAATCAAATCCAGCAATCCTACTTCAGGAAAATCATCCTACAAAAGGATAGACATGCATATATGAAATATACACAATTATTCTTTATAACATCGTTTGTATGTGCATACATGCACACGTACATGTATATATGAACAGGACTAGCAACACAAGATTAAAAAACAACCTAAATGTCCATCAAAAAGGCACTGGTTATATAAGGTAGAGTATAGCCAAAAGGTGGAAAACTATGCAACTGTAAAAAAAGAATAAGGAAGTTTTCAATGCACTAATATGGAAAATCTCCAAGAAGTTAAAAAGAGCAAACTATAAAATACACATACAATATGCTACTTTCATATTAAAATTTTAAAAGGTGAAGGAGATGAGAATATGTATTTGGATTTACTTAAAGAAACTCTGGAAAGATACATTAATGTGAGTTGGTTACCCACTGAAAGGAAGGGTGAAGAATGGGGCAGATCACAGTAAAGGAGAGAGTAAGTTGATTTTTTTGAATCTCATATATATACAACCTATTCAAAAGTTAAAATACATATAAATCACAAACCATCTTTTTTTTTTTTTTTTAAGGTGACTGGTAAGGGGATCTTAACCCTTGACTTGGTGTTGTCAACACCACGCTCACCCAGTGAGCTAACTGGCCATCTTTATATGGGATCCGAACCCATGGCCTTGGTGTTATCAGCACCACACTCTCCCAAGTGAGCCACGGGCCGGCCCCGGTCACAAACCATATTAACAGAAAAAGAAGAGCTCAAAACCAAGTTTCAGCCCCTACTTTTATAGCAATCTAAAGGTAAGGTATCTGAGATTCAAACAGAACAACCAAGTAAGAAACAAACTACAGAAATCAAAGGAAATACAGTCATCCCTCGGTATCCATGGATGCTCAAATCCCTTAAATAAAATTGTGTAGTATTTGCATATAACCTATGCTGTTTGCATGTAACCTATGTCGTCTCTAGATTATTTAAAATCCTAAGGGACTGGCCGATTAGCTCATTGGTTAGAGCACAGCCTTATAACACCAAAGTCACAGGTTCAGCTTCTATTACCAGCCAGACGCCAAAAACAAGAACGAAACAAAAAACAAACAAAAAAACCCAAAAAAACTTATAACACCTAATACAATGTAAACGCTATGCAAATAGTTGTTACACTATATTGCTTAGAGAATAAGGACAAGGAAAAATCTATACAAATGCCATTTTTCTCAATCCGTGGTTGGCTGAATCCATGAATGCAGAACCCTCAGATACAGAGAGCTGACTATACTCCAAATCAAGATTTTTAATATTCAAAATAACTTATAAGCACTATTTATAACTGTTTCAGCTTTCAAATTATCAAAAATGATACAAACCTGAAGAATGAAGTAGAAACACCTAAATATACTGAAAAGTGATTCTAGACTACGTAAACTTTAGGTAAATAGCTTATCACTTTCCTGGCATCTTTAGAAAGAATAATTGAGAATTTTTAAATCATAGAGTAAAAAACTCAATGAAAAAATATGTTAATAACAATTCATTTATGAAATGCTCAAAGGAAAAATATGAATTATTACTAACAGCAACAAATATTGGGCTATACTATAGGCAACTGCCAGTTTACAATGCCATGTTGTATTTTACCATGTATAATCAACTGTAAGTATTACCTTTCATTTTTGAGTGTGTGTTAATCAATGGATCAGAACAAATCCTGCAGGGCCACCATGGGCGTCTCTTGAATTTTGCCCAGATGAGATCTCCAACTTCATACTTCAGTGGCGTAGACTTTTTCTTGGGTTGACACTTTAGATAGACAAAACACAGGCATCAATAAGAATCAAAACTTTTTGAAAAACTACCTACCTATTAACCTTCTGTTAACTAACTTCTGTAACTATCAACCTTCACCTAACTATTAACCTTCTGTGAAAGCAATGCCTAAAAAATTCAGGATGAAAACACTCTAGCCTGACAACAAATACAAAATAAGTACAACTAAATTAATTTGCCTTAATTTTTCATAACATAGCCTTTATATTTATACAGCAGTAGTTCTCAATCTATATTTGTTTTCCATTAGATTAGCTAAATTCTGAAAATAAAATTAAGCTGTTTTGATTTATGAAGAACTGAAAACTGAAATAATAAAGCCATCCCAACGAAATGATATTTTTGCTCTAGTCCCTGGATCACAAGATCAAGGGGAGAAAAAGAAAAAATTACAAAAAAAGTTTTTAACAATGTCAAGAGACTATATAGTCCCTTCTGCAGGCAATACTCTACATTCTTCTTAAACAAACATAGATAGTTCTATTAGTTAATTAACAATGATGGCTCTAATGAAGAAATCCTGAAAGCTATATATAGGCTAGACTACAGTTATGCCAATGCAATTGACCTGAATTTTTTCCCAGGATATGCAAGTGCTGTAGATTGGATCCCCCCTTCACCCTCATTGAGGCTTAATCCCCACTGTTAATTTTTTTTTTTTTTTTTTTTTTTTAAGATGACCGGTAAGGGGATCTTAACCCTTGACTTGGTGTTGTCAGCACCACGCTCAGACAGTGAGCAAACCGGCCATCCCTATATGGGATCCGAACCCGGGGCCCTGGTGTTATCAGCACCGCACTCTCCCGAGTGAGCCACGGGCCGGCCCCCCACTGTTAATTGTTAAGGGTGGAAAATCCTATTATGATAATTGAACGGTGGGGCCTTGAAGGGGTGAGTAGATTGTAGGACCACTGCAGTGAATAGATTAAAAATGGTGGTCATGGGCCAGCCCGGTGGCGCACTGGAGAGTGCGCCGCTTGGGAGTGTGGCGGCGCTCCCGCCGAGGGTTCGGATCCCATGTGGAGACCGGTTCCCGCTCACTGGCTGAGCGAGGTGCGGGCGCAACACCGAGGGTTGCGATCCCGTTGCCGGTCCCCGGTACAGGCGTGACACCGAGGGTTGTGATCCCGTTACCGGTCAGTAAAAAAGACAAAAATAAATAAATAAATAAATATATGGTGGTCATGGGTGTAGTTCTGAGGGCTTCAAAAGGAGAGTGCAGGAGGAGCTCTTTTTTCTTTTTTGTCCTTTTTGAGACCGGCCGCACCGCGCTCAGCCAGTGTGCACCGGCCATCCCTATATAGGATCCGAACCCGCAGCGGGAGCGCTCCTGCACTCCCAGCGCTGCACTCTCCCGAGTGCGCCACGGGCTCGGCCCAGGAGGAGCTCTTTAACCTCTGTGCTTCCACCATCTTGCAATGTGAGAGTTCACTGTCGCCACCATGAAATGTGTTCCTTGAACTCTGGACTTCCCACCCTCAGAAACTGTATGCAATAAATTTAATTTTCTTTATAAAATACCCAGTTTCATGTATTTCATTATAAGCAACAGAAATGGACTAATATAGCAAGATAGGCTACATCAAGAACACAGCACTGTACAACTCCAAGGGACACCATTCACATAGGAGATTTTAGAATACAATATGAATAAAGCTCCCTGGAACTGTCGAATGGAGAGACACTGGCTATATCTGTTCCACAAAAATAACCTGCGTAATTGACCTGGGATCCAAATGCCTTCCTTTCAGCTCTAAACCCATATCCATGCCTTTAACACCCCACAAATTATACAAATCTCCTGCCTTTATGGGAAGACAGCCTTGTGTTTGCTAAGCCTGAGCGTCCCATCTGGTATACCACAAAGCAGTTCCAAGTATGGTGAGATAATATTTCTGGGTGGCCAAATGAAGTATGGACTAAGAGCAACCTCCTCCATTCATTTCAAGGGGACATAAAAATATTATTTTCTGTAAGAGCCATGTCTTGAAAAAGGCTTGGTGAGCGCCTCTGTCAGACTCAATCTTCCCTGCTTAATACATAAAACAGTAAAAATACCTGACACAGATTAAGTGTTCAATCAGGAGTATGCTGAATGAATTCACTGACATAATTCAAATAAATGATGAATAATACCCCAGCTCAAGGATATCAAACAATTGGGCTCAATTCAATGAATTGTAAGTTACCATTCAATTTTAAGATTCTGCTTTCAGGGCCGGCCTGGTGGCGCACTGGATAGTGTGCCGCTTGGGAAGCGCGGCGGCGCTCCTGCCCGAGGTTTCGGATCCCACATACAGACCGGTTCCCGCTCACTGGCTGAGCGAGGCGCGGGAGCAGCGCCGAGGGTTGCAATCCCGTTGCCGGTCCCCGGTCCGGTGCGGGGGCAACACTGAGGGTTGCGATCCGTTGCC